AGCGAGTGTGAAGATTGGTAACGTTCTCGACAGTCGTTGTCTCTGCTGCAGGGCGGAATCCTTTCCCGAGATCGTCTGAGGCGATTCGATTGAGCATGGCTGCAGCCATCGATATGCTGCACTCCACAATTTTGGTGATACCAACATCTGCTACCTGGGAATTGTTGGCGGCGGATTCGGGAAAGTGAAGATTACCGTTATCGCTCTCGCCAGTGAGGAGCTATCGTATTTGGCGCTCTTCTATCATGGCTGCGCGCTTTACTGGAGTTTCTTCCAACTTTCCATGGTACTTTTCGAAAGAGCGGCGAATGAGGACTGACAGACAGACTGCGCTGCTCAGAACTGGATATGTTCACTAGGCGAATAGTGTTGTATGCCTAGAATTCGTACTCTCAACGTCCAATCCGAAGTTCCGCATTTCGTGGCAAGAAAGCTCGTAGATTGCCGAATATATGTGACGTAGAGGGAGCAAGCATTGATTTCGTGTCGTCGGACTTGGCAGTGGAAATGAACGGAAGAATGACGGGCACTTAACGCACTCCGTCTCCGGGAATTCGAGGTCAACAATATGCGATCGCCAAAGGTTTAAGATCAAATGCAAACACACACAATAATTTCGCTACGTCCAACTTCAGGTGGCAGGGAGTTCTGAGGTCAAGTTGGTTCTGTGCATACGGCAGGTTTCCGGGAGTTGGCTGTTTGCTTTTTTCATACCCACACATCTCTGAGAGCGTCAGTCGCGGCGTGTTGTTAACGCCGGTGTCGCATGCCCTTGGTTTCATAAAGGGAATGTCTAGCCGAGAGTTGGACATGTACTGGTTGGTTTAGACTCCAGGTTTTGCGGCTTGGTATAAAGGCACACAAATAAATCTCCGGACTGTTCGACGCGCGTAGGACGGCAAAAGTCCATGTGCGCAGCCGTGACTTATAACAGCTGAACAAGGGACTCCCTAGTTCATGCCTGAGGATTGGCTGAGCGTCAGGTTGTGTTTGGTGTTTAAAATATTTTACGGATGAAAGCGAATATGCAAATCCCAGGTTATAGTTGTAAAGAAGATGAAAAAACAATCTCTCTGCGCTCATGATTTCGCATTCTCACGGTCTTGGACGATGGCCTCCCGTACGAGACCGAAAGCTCAGACAAATACGCCCACTATTCCAGAGATCGTTTGTTCATCTTCTTTCTGATAACGTAGTTGTCGCGATGATTGACAGTCAAAGAGGCGCCTTGACACTGTGAACCAGGGCGTCAGCTATAAATAAATGTCATTAATCATGCCTGATCTGCCAAACTCGAATTTTTTTGAAATTCGCCGAAAACTCCAGGGCATATGGCATTCACCATGATGGAGGGGACAGTCGTCAATGTCTATCTTTCAGGTTCTTAAAAGGCAACAGCCGCGGACGGCCGTTTTTAATCACCTGGTCTCTCATTCCTTTTGGTTTCTGGGTTTCCCGTGTGGTCGTTATCATTTTGTTTTTTTTACTATTCATTTTGACACTATCGCCACAGGTAACGGATGCGTTTCCGACGTTCCTATTACGCGGAATCTTTTTATCCTACCTCTTGCTATTCTGCGGGCGGGTAAATTTATGTCGTTGGCTGCATGTGAACTAGATTGCAACGGATTCCACTTATTTGTAATCTCTTCGTCAAGGCGGTTGATCCTGACGACCAAAGTATGTCATTCACGATAACTTCTATCTCCATTTTATACGCCTATACAATCAAGGAGAGTTTGCCATATCTATGGCCGTCGTGATGGGGTGGCCGAGGGATTAGCGCGACTGACCGTTACGCAGGTGGCCCGTGAATCGACACCCTAATGTGAGTGACAGAGTACACTCTATTCATACCGTAAAGAAACGAAAATGAATCGGATTTAGAGGCGAACTGTGCTTTTGTTGGTTTCTTCAAAATATTTCGAGAATAGTGAACGTTTACATTTATGCCTCTTTTGGTCAAATGACAAGTGCCCAAACCTAAGCAGCGCAGCAGGCCGTGTGGAAAATATTGACTGATCCTTTTGGAGATACTGTTTCGATATAACGGTGAACAGTTTTAAACGATAATTTAGGCTGCTTGGCTGTGTACGTCAAACCCTGGTTTCCAGCCGAAAGACCGGAGTTTCAGAAATTCGTCCGGTTCGTATGATAAGGGCACCGACAAAAGCTAGTCAGATCCGCCTATAATGCTTATTGTAAGCCACTTTTGATGGACAACAGCTGTAACCGGTTAAGTATTTGATCAAAAACTTAACCCCTGCTACTTGAAATTCAAACCACAGGCAATCGGCGCGCGCTGGGTCTCACTGTTTTGTCAGCAAACCTCTAGATTTGTTTTCCGCACACGGTGCGGGTGTTGGCAGAGCATTTCTGTCGTGAGAAACTGGGAGATTACTCTGGACGCGAATGGGCGAACATGCAGCAGCAGTGAGGGGATTAAACGCTAACCCTCAGGTGGTTGCTCACTTGTCAAGTTTCAAGTGGCTGAACTCTTTGCGCAAGCCTTGAGCTGCTCTAATGATTTCTTTCAGGCCCGCAAACGAGTAACAGGCGCAAAGACTTTCCACTACCATAGTAGGCAGTGGGACATTCCTCGAGTAGGGAATTCGATCACGTGGGGAGGGCGTGGAATGCCAAAAATCCTAGGGACAACAAGGCTAATCGCCTAGTAATCATCACGTCAACACCCAACATCGAGAAGGAAACGTGACCATTACCGACTAGGACGCAGCCTGACAACCCCTCCGTGCATCGAGTACGACCCTCGTCGCTGATCGGGGGAGCTGTTACTTATGGTACGCATATGGTGCTACGGCAGCTACGTCTTATAAATACTGCACACATTCTGTCATCACCACCTGTCCCTGGTGGTGGGTTTGAGTGAGAATCCGATGCACCAGGCCAATCAGCTTCCTGTTCCAGGGACTCTCCCCCTCGCTTCTGCCAGCAAGCCTTTTATGTCTGTTTGGTTAAGGGTGTGGAACTTACTCACCTGATGCGGTTTGGTATGACATGAATTACAGAGTTAATTTCTGGAAACAGCCAGTGGCAGCGTAAGTCGAAATGTTATGTCAAACAAGAGAAGCATTTCCAATCAGAATTCAGGGAGACATATTTGAGGCGTACTATCTACTGCAGAAATAGTAAGGTTTAGAATGCGTTAACGGCAACTGTTCTTTAATCAACCAGGCCCACCTCTTGATTGCGTTAACCCGATGCAAAGAGGTGCATTCGTGGGCTTTAGATTTGTCCGAATTACACAAATGGGCAACCAGCATGACGTCGATCGACGTTAAACTGACAACAAGACAGGGTTAGATAATGCGCAGCGGGCAAAATGAATTAATAGGGAGTTTTGGGAGATTGAATGCTGTTCGACTAATTGATCTCTAACGCATTTAAATGGAAGCGGCATCAGTTTATCACTTCGGACCATTATATCACCCCGATCGATGTCGTTTCAACGTTAACACTAGACGTTTATTAATACTATAGCATTACTCACTACCTTCACATTACTCACTACGCTTGAGTAACCTTTTTATTATTATTTTGTATGAAAATGAGCATGAAAAATTTATCCATTTATCCTGCACTCCTGGTATCTCGGAGAGTGATCTAATCGAATCATGGTTCTTAGACGTGTAATCCATCAACAAGCGTAGTGACTTCGGGGTACCATATCCACTGTTGAGATATTCCCTGAGCAAGGAATCAGTCATGTGTGGAGAACGTGGACACTTAACTATCCTGGCGACAGTGGGCCAAATTATCATTACATCAACATCCAAAGCGCATGATGAAATTTAGACAACTGTCGACTGGGACACGGACTCAAGAATCGCTATGTCCTTAATGACGACCGTCCGCGGTTATCACGAAAGCTGCTAATTATAGTACGAATGTGGCCCCATGGTAACCACCAATTATAAGTACGGCAGTATTTTGCCTGTACTACCGTTATCTGCGACCGCATCTGATAATGGGTTTGAGTGAGCATCCGAAACGTCAGGCCAATAAACTTCTTGTTTCAGTGATCTCATCTTTTCTTCTTTTGGACTGCTTCTTTGAAGTTGCCTGTTCGCTTCTATCTACAATCTCAGTATGGATTTTGTGTAGATGAATTGTCTGATACTTATGTAGGCTTTTGCAGCATTCACGCACTATGTTCCCACTCACGTAACTTGATCAGATGGAAAGAATACTGAAGATAGTAAAGAGCGCATTGACGGATAAAATTCCGACACTTCGAAACGCGCAAACGCGCTCACTCAGACGGTAACAGTCATTTTACGTGAACACGTCATCTTCCGGCCGATGTAAAAATACTTTAAATTGTCGCATGCGACCCCACGAATGCCGCGTCTCCACGGAGTGGGCTCAGCATGAGCGATGTGTTAAGGTTTTCCTACTGAAATGGGCTTGGTAAACACCTACGGCACCCTGTTCCCACTTATCTATCCTGTTTTAATGACAAGTAGGCCAGAGGTGGATACGGATGTATTAACTTAAAGAACTTTACACTCTGTCCGCACGTTTATCCACGTCCGCAAATGGTGCGAAAAGGTGGCAGCGGTCTTCCGAAACGCTCTTGGCATACGGAACTGTTTGACAAATTTGCAGGGTACAAGCGCTTTCACCATTCTTGCCGTTGTCGTATGCAGCGGTTGACGAAGTTGCAGGGGTAGTCTTTGAATCTGAAGACTTGTCGAAGGTACTGCAGTTCGGTTATCTTGTTCCCCGGTTTACTGCAGTGAGTTAAGGCGTCCTTACACAGCTGCTTTTGCGGTTGAGTAGGTGGTTGCTGGATTATTGTTATCAGGCCTTTTTCAGTTATTATCGGGAATGGAAAAAGTTCAAAGTTTAAAACTGGTCTCAGCATTGAGTGATCATCATTCTGAAGTCGCTGGCCTCGAGAGATAATTTAAAACACAAATATCACACGTACTACCTGAACACCCAGAAACTTGTTTTTTAGAAGGAGCAGGCCATTGTCATTGCAGCCGTTGAGACCAAAAGAACCAGAGCATTCCTTTCAATGCAGCATTGTCTGTGTCGACGCGGGCATTGATTTTACCAAGCACAATCATCTTATCTGCCTTTGACATAGTTGCCAGGAGGGCGTGCAAGTTCTCGTAGAATTTGGCCTTTTTGGCGTTGGGGATGGTCATGGGCAAGCGTGGACGCAGATGATGGTGGCGAATTTGCCTCTCCAGAGAGGCAGACGGAGGCTCATTAGACGACCGTTGATGCCCTGCGGCAGACAGTGCAGTCGTCCCACGATGTCTTTCCGGATGCCAAAGGTGACGCCCGGGTCTCGTCGCCTTGAGCCGACCACTCCAGAAGAAGGTGTGACCGGCACCCACCTCCTCCAGTTGACCTTCTTTGTAGAACGGGGTCTCGCTGAATGCGGCGATATCCACCTTGTGGAACGCCAGTTCCCGAGCAACTAGCGCCGTCCTCACTTCCGGTCGGCTGCTCTTCGGATTGACTCGGGAACGAAGTGGGACGGGGAGGAGAAGGAGGAGATGAAGGAGAAGATGCAGCAGGAAAATAGGGAGTGGTTGTTGTTTCGGTTTCGGCTGTTTTGACCGTGTTGTTTGTCTTCGGCAACGGATAGCCTACAGACAGCGTGGTTCCCAGCAATTCTTAGGGCATATTTGTATCCCTTTCCCCTCGCACGGCTGGCAGCGCACCCCCTAAATAGGACCGCTAAACTCCACTAAAGGCCACGGCTTTGCGTTAGTGAGAGAACCACCACAGTTGTCCAGGGTCTTTGAATTGGGGGGGGGGAGAGGATGGAAGATGCGTGGACGAGCTGGCAGCTGACAAGCAGAGACAGCTGTGGGCAAACCAATGCACGAAGTCCAGCACAACGCCAGCTTGCTTTTAGTAAGGAAAAGTAAAAGCAAGCAACAAAACATGGAGCAGTCGGCAAGAGAAGCGTACAACATGTAGCAGTAACAGGCAAAGTAAGGAAACAGAACAACTTTCGCTTACCTGAGGGCTCCTGCGATGGTCCAGAAGAAGCCCCTTCTCAACGACGCCCGAGCGAAGGCGACACTCGCGTCTCGTCGCTCTGCTTTGGGACGACCACTCCAGAAGAAGGTATAGCCGGCACCCACCTCCCCGAGTTGGACTTGTTTTGAGAATCGGGTTTCTATGAGTGCGGCGGTGTCCACCTTATAGCGCGCCATTTCCCGAGCCATTAGCACTGTCCTCCGTTCCTTCGGGTTGCTCATTGAATTGTCTAAAAGCTAACGAACATTCCAGGCTACCAGGGTGAGCAGGATCACCCTGCCTGTCTGGCGAGAGGGGCGGTGGGAAGGGGGAGAAGAAGAAGATTGGGAGAGGAAGAGGAAGAAGAGGCAGGAGGAGGGAGAGTGAGCATTTTAGTTAGCAGAATGGCATTACCGACAAAGACAAGGGAGACTGGAATGGCCATTTCTGACTCATTAGCCGTCGTCAGCCAGCCATACCCAAGCCCGAAGTGTGGAACACCCGAGTCTCGAACTCGCAACCTGTTAGTTTAGAAGCCCACGCATCTACCCACTGGGCTACGAGCCACGTTGCCACTTTCCCCCTAACATAGTATTGTTGTTCTTTCAGTTTTGACTGCTTCGACCGTGTGTTTCTTGTCTGTAGCTACGGTCAGCCTACAGAGAGTGGTTCCCAGCAATTTTTATGGCACATTCATTGATCCCTTCCGACTAGCGAGGGCAGGTAGCGCACCTCCTGAATAGTGCTGCTCGGTTACCCCAGTCGGCTGCCGAAATCCACTGTGGGCCACCACTTGTTGTTAGTGAGAGAACGACCGGAATTCGCCTGGGACCTTGGGGTGGGGGAAATAAGTAGGCGATAAGATACACACAACAGCACGCTATGGGACATAAAGTTAGGATGGACAAGCAGACATAGTCATCAGCCCGGTCGAGGAGTAACAGGGCATCAATTGACCTCAAGCACAGTAACACCTAGCTATTAGCCGAGAGAGGCACAGACTAGCAAACACAGAGCAGGCAACAAGATCAGCATACAGCACGGAACTTAAGCGGACAAATAAGGAGGCAAGTAAGGAAGGAAACAGGGCCAAGTGCACTTACCTGGTGGCCTCCTGCGGTGGTCCAGACAGAGCCTCGTCTCGACGATGCCGACGCTTAGATCCATCCAGGCAGTGGAGTCCACAGTACTTTGCGTGCAGGTGCACACGCGGATACCCTCACCTGGTTTAGCCCGCCGGTCGAGACGGTTCCCCGGGGTGTGGCCGCTGAGCAGAGCCTAGATTCGGGCAGCCACATGTGAGAGTTAGGTGCCAGCAAATGGCCGCTAGGCGAAGTCTGCATCTGCAAGTAAGTGAGCGACCTACTACAGCCGTCTCGTAAACCCGCCGCTAAACACCTCCCGCACGTACGCGCGCAAAAACACAGACGATGTGCTGACTAATGATCATTTTAGATCGACTGAATAAATAATGTCTGGTCGTTTTCCGAATGTGATCTTTGGCACTCTAACCCACATTTATCAATGTTTATTTGGCAAACATCCGCGAAATAAGGCATTCATGGGAGCGTCCAGACTAATGATAGGATTGGTTGTCCCGGATGACCGCATTCAGCTGTCCTTGAATATCAGCAGTTGATCGCGGTCTATAACTACGAAGGTATAATCCAAATACCAGACCCAGAACTTCGGTTTGTGGTGTTTGCAGACCAGCTTCTCTAACCGTTGCAGAATCGCCTCGGCGAGGAATCCCGAAATCGGCTAGCCCATTGATGCGCCCTTCAACTGTTCGTAGATTGTTCCGTTGAACGTGAAGTACGTCTTGAGACGTCGACGACGAACAAAGCGGAGCAGATGTCACTGTAGATGTTAGTAAACTATCTCTTTGGCAGACATCCGCGCGCAGACTAAAGACACCATGAAACCATGATTACTTCGAAACTGAGTCCCGATTTTGTTATGGTAAGAGAGATCGAGTGAAGAAGAAGGTTAGAAGCACGTGCAACGCTACGTTTGATTGAAGTTCAAGTGTCTTTGATGGGCACGAGCCGCGCAGGTCTTTGACAGACTGGTTGTGACTGATCAAGCACCATACAGAGAGAGAAACGTCATCACTGACTGATCAGAAGGGACAACAGCATGACACCGGCAGCTGAAATGGCGGAAGAGTGCTGTTAGCGAAGACATGCACGATAGAATGTCGTCGATAAAGGGCTGAAGTGGTGCAGAAGTCACCGGAGGGCTCAGTTATTTCACGGGTGTTAACACTTAGTTCAAAATATGCTCACCGACCAAATGCATTATTAGATTGCTTCCTCTACATCCGCTAAACGATTTTCTGCCAAGTACGATAACTCGAGCAGTCAGTTTCATAAGAATATTTATTCAACGCCTCCTCTGTCTCGATAAAGCATTCCCCGTGCCTCTCAGAAGTGCGAAATAGACGCAGAGTTTTATTCACTGAAACTGAAATTTTTTCATGCAAGCTCTTTTTATCACGAACAGAGCCTGCTCAGCAACCCCTAGATTTCCACTAATTTGTTGCCAGTACAGTGTGCGTTAGTATTCATTGCAAAGTCACTCACCTCCCTGCCTGCTCTCCGGTGAGCGTCTGGCCTCCAGGTCACGTTTTCTGTCAGATAAAATAAAAGTCCTTGAAACTAATCAAAACATTCCCTCTGAGCTACTTCGGCAAAAAATAACCATTCAGTCACGTGTTACTTCAGCAGTCTTCTTTCATTCCGGTTGATCTCCATTACAAACATTTTGTCAAAATTTTCCAGGCACTGAATCGTGCCTGGATTTTCATGGTCTTGCCGCTTTGTTCAACTTTGCTATGCGGACTAACACTGCTCTTGCAGGTTAAGTACAGCGATGTGCTATCTCATGAAGTGTCCACTGAAATACTGAACCGTGTTGCCCATTAGAAAACAAAACCGAGGTAGTCTTGTAATATTAAATATATTGCAGCAGTGTCGTAAGACATTGCAGACACCTCAGAATGATAGTTTCTGAATAACTACGCAGACCGGCTCAGGAGTCAAGGCCTAACCCTGCGCGATCCCCGAAAGTGATTTAGGTTATGACCTGTAAAACACGGCAGCTATTGTTTTGCGTTTCTTATACCTAACTCTGATTTCCCAAGGGCCACATTGGAGCCCAAAGGACGCGGTTCATGCGAACAGTTAATGCTCTGTAGATACTACGGTTATACTCATAGTCTGTTAATTTTTTTTGTTGGCCTGCATACGAGTTGGCCTTCTTTTTTCATATTTTGCTTTAAACCCTATTTCAACCACGGCGTAGACTCCCACCATAAGGTGCTGTAATCACAGCGATGGACAATAATACGGTTCCTACGGAAATATTTAAACATAAACGGATGACTAATCTTTAGCCGGCGTTTGTGAATTTGAATTGTAGCCGACCAATGGGCCTCCGGCCGGTGTTCCATTCCTACGTCCAGTTGTCTTAGCATACGCTCAGTGACCTCGGAGACGTTCCCCGCGTACGACAAGACAGGGAAGTCTACATGTTTTTTTTTGCTCACCGTTGATCTCTGTCTTTGTAACAGGCACTTGTTTACGAAGACAGAGGAGAGGCAATAGCCTCTGATGAGATAGTAATATCCTTGGACGTCTCTCCCCTGTTGTCCTCAATTCCTAAATAATTTGTCATGAAGGTCATCGGTGACCAAATGACAAGAAAGCAAGACGAAGAGGGAACACCGATGGGATCATCGAACTTCGGTTACCTGGCTGAGACGCTTTTGCAAGAATCAGTAGCTCGTGTCTTTCAATCCTACAGTAGATGTGCTAACTCATGAAATGTCAACCAAAATCTCGAAATGCGTTCTCGTTGTGAAAAGATCAATGAGGCAGTCTTGTAAAACTAATCACGATGCAGCATAAATCAATAATGATCCAGTTACCTCAGGGTATCGGCTTTCGAAAGAACTTATTTTCGACTGCATGCGAGATCTATGCTCTGCAAAAGTGACTACGTAAGTAGTATGAAATTTTCTCATTGACTTTCGATGCCCATGAAAATTCAATTATATTATATGGAAAACATGCATACAAATATTCATTCCTTTACTTATTCGGTAGAAAATCACGTCTTCTTCCAATTTCATGTTTGCAAAATGAGTATAATTTGGTTTTAAAAAAGTTTCTAATTGTGAGATTTTTAACACCGCTAAATAGCCGTTCATGAAGCGTCATGTATCTGCATTTACGAATGTGGCTTGTAAAGTTAACAATTTTGCGCAATTCCGCTGCTTAATTTAATGAAACGGATATGGTTCCCTCATACCGCCGTAGGGAAATGCATTGCTTTCCGTACACGAAACATATAGAGCTTGTAGTTTTGAAACCCTGAATGCAAGTGTAACCGCAGGTCGGTTTCGATATTACTCGGGAATTGGAAAAGGTTTTTAAAACTGAAATATACACATGTTTTGAATATGAAATTGAAAGAAGACCTGTATTTCTACCAAATAATTAAAAGAATGAATATTTTTAAGCATGCTATCCATGAAATATAATTGAATTTCCAAGGGCATCGACAATCAATTAGAAAATTGCATAGTACACATGTAGTCATTTTTTGCGGAGTATAGATCTTGCATGCAGACGAACATAAGTTTTTTCAAAAGCCGGCACCCTTAGGTAACTGGATCATTATAGAGTTCTGCTGCATCATGTTTAGTTTTACAACACTACTTAATTTATCTTTACGAAACAAAAACGCATTTCGAAATTTTGGTTGACATTTAATGAGTTAGCATATCTACTGTAGATTTCAATACGTTAATTTAAAATATGCATTATCAGATTGCTTCCTCTACATCCGCTAAACGCTTTTCTGCCCAGCACGATAACTCGAGCAGCAATTTTCATAAGAATATTTATTCAACGCCTCCTCTGTCTCGATAGCGCATTCCCAGTGCCTCTCAGAAGTGCGTAATATACGCAGAGTTTTATTCACTGAAACTGAAATTTTTTCATGCAAGCTGTTTTGATCATGGACAGAGCCTGCTCAGCAACCCCTAGTTTTCCACTAATTCGTTGCCAGTATAATGTGCTTTATTAATCATTGCAAAGTCACTCAGCTCCCTGCCTGCTCTCCGGTGAGCGCCTGGCCTCCAGGTCACGTTTTCTGTCAGATAAATTAAAAGTCCTTGAAACTAATAAAA